CAAATCCCACGGTCTGCGGCGAAGTTGAAGCGTGAACCCGAAGGAAGAGCGCGAGTGTAGAACCGGTACAAGACGTCGCGTTGGAGGCTGGGTTGCTCCCGTAAAAAGGCATGGGAGAGGTCGGGGAGGAGGGGAGGAGGAGCGGGGAGGACGTGGATCCAGCGGGCGGCGTGGTCGAGGGGAAGTTGAGCGTAGAGCCGGCGACGAATGTCAGCTACGCTTGGGCAGCCGTCCCGAAGGATGTCGAGCCGCGCGCCAAGCCCTGCACCTGTATGGAAGGGGCCTGCAAGCCAGGACCCAACAACGTGTACCGCAGAGAGGGCACCTATGTGGAAGGTGCCATCTCCGATCGACGGTCGGACGATGAATCGGTTGGGCAGGACATGGTAAAGGGAGACTGAGAGTGACGACGGAGGGGAGAAGGCCGTGACCTGGAAAGCAATAGTGGGAGAGGTCTCGGAGTCATCTTTAGGGACGAACCACTCCCCAGGGACTGCCGAGGGGGGAGGGGGGGAGCGAAGGGCTGACCACCAAGGTTTGGGGATGGCACGGATGATTTCGCGCCAGACTCTACGTCCAGAGGAGGAGTTGGCTATGGGAAACAGTGAGGTGAAGTGTTTGAAGGAGACCACACCAAACGAGTGGAAGATAAGAGAGATCAAATGGCCGACACGGACCTGCTTAGATAGGAGGAAGTGTTCACGCGTGAGAATTCCGAAGGGCTTCCCGTTTGGTTTGAGAATGAAACGATTGAAGGCGGTAGGCTCGCCCATTATACACATAGGGACAAGGCGAGGTGGAGCAATGTTCGGAGTGATCTCTATTAATGCGTGTAGTTCAGCGAGTGCTCGACCTGGGATTATCGTTGGCAGAATGCCTGCTTGAAGGATGGCAGGGTGCGCGAAGAGACAGTGTGTGCCAAATGGGAGGCAGACGGCGGCTCTGGCTACCTCTTCTGATGGTGAGGCGCCGAGGCGACGGAGCGCGCGATGAGCAGCTAGAGCACGGATTTGGGTGGAGGGGGCAATCGCTCCAAGGCCTCCGTGGCGGGTGGAGTTATACAGGAGCCGATTAGGGATGAGACGGATCGCGAGGCCGTGCTCCTTGAAGCGCGAAGAGGATAGAAAGTTCCCGACCAAGACGTCTAAGCGTTTGATAACGTCGGGGGAGGGGGTTTGAAAGCGGCCGGGGAAGGAGATGATAGAGTTTAAGAAGACTGACGCAAGTGACTTGCGGCAGGTGGCTGTGGCACGAAGGGCGGCGAGGAACTTAGCCGTGCGTTGAACGCGAGAGAGAGTCGTGGACCAGGTAGTGGCGCCTGGTTGTGCACGTTCAACGTAGACGCCAAGAATGCGTTCTGCCTCTTGAGGAGTGCGAATGGGAATGGGGCTAGCTAGAAGGATTTGTTCCGGGGAGATGTGAAAAGGAATTATTGAGCATTTGTTCCAGTTGGGGTGTTCTCCTGAGACTGCGGCAAAGGTCCGGAGGTGTATGAGTGTGGTCCCAAGCTCTCTAGCAGAGGAGAGGAAGATGGTGACGTCATCAGCGTAGCAGGCCATGAGACGGCGCTGCGTCGTAGAGAGGGGGAAACCCGGGAGGAAGAGCGATAGGTAGCGCTGTAGGATTTCAATGACACACACAAAGAGGAGGGGGGCGAGGGGGCATCCTTGTCGGACCCCGGTTCGGACTGGGAAGGTGGGTCCAGCGAGGTTGTTAACAGAGATGCAGGTGGAGGTGCTAGTGTGCATGAGGCGAACCCAGGCGATGAACTGCTCGGGGAGTCCCACCCTGGCAAGCGCTTGGAAGAGGAAAGCTCGATCGACCAGGTCATAGGCCTTGCGGAAGTCAACCGTTAAGGCGAGAAGTGGGGTTTTCGTGATTGTGCTCCAGTCGAAAATGTCGAGTGTATCGTTGATCGTATCGCCAATTTTCCTGCTTTTAATGAAAGCGGTTTGGGAGGGGTGGATAATCAGGGGAAGAGCGAGTTGCAGCCGATTGGCAAGGCATAAGGCTAGCACCTTGTAGTCCGAGTTCATGAGGGTGATAGGGCGGAGGTTGTCGATCATAGAGGAGCTACCCCTCTTGGGAATAAGGACTGTGCGGCCTGACAGCATTGACGGCGGGAGGGTAGCGGAGATGTGCGGTGAGGAGAAGAGTGAGAGAAATGCGGGGGCGAAGCGGGTCTTGTATTGTCGGAAGAGCTCGCCCGGGATGCCGTCAGGGCCGGGGGTTTTGCCACGGGAGAGCTGGTTTAAGGCCTTGCTAATTTCCATTAGGGAAAAGGGAGCTTGCAGATGGTTGAGGAGTCTGGGGGGGAGTGAAGAGGGGGGGATATGAGCCCAGAAGGCAGGATTTGGCACGTCCGAGGTTGCCCGCTGTAGAGAGACTGGAAGAATTTGGTGCATTCAGCGGTCATGGCTCGTAGATCTGAGATGGTTTGTCCATCTGGTAGTATAAGCGAGGAGATTAATGAGTCTTTGATGCGGGAGTTGAGTCCTGCCAGCAAGGAGGAGGTTCCCATCTCCCTATGGCCCTCGACTTTGAGCTTTGCTTTTAGAGCGAGCTCGGCGGTTTTGGATGCCTCGTATTTTGTTAGTTGAGTGCGGGCTTTGAGGAGCTGTGTGGTCGCATCATGGTCAAGAGGGGAGAGGGCAGATTGGAGCTGAAGGTGGCTAATGAGTTGTACTAGGTGGTTTGTAGTGCTTGTAACCCTTTTGCGCTCTTCGTTCGAGAAACTTTTGAGGCTAAGCGTGAGGGCCAGTTTCCAGGCGTCCCATGCATCGGAGGAAGGGCGTGATGGCAGGGAGGGGAGGTGAGATTTGATTATGGTAGCGACTTGGGGCCGGTGGAGGAGAGAGGATCTGAAACGCCAAGGTCGCGGTGCCATGGTTGGGTTGTCGAATGTGAGGGTGCAGAGGGGTGCAAAGGAGTGGTCAGAAACGTCAGTTGGGGTCCAGAGGTAGGAGGTTTCAGAGGCCCGAGGGATGAATGAATTGGAGAGGTAGAGTCGGTCCAGTCTGGAGGCGGGCGGGAGAGCATTGCCAGCGTTGGCCCGTCGGCCAAAGTAGGAAAAAACGGGGGCGGTAGGGTGGAGTGAGCGGTACACGTCGGACAGTGCGTGCGATAGCAGGAGATTAGACACCATGGTGGCTTCGCTGAGTTCGTGACCAAGTAGCGGGCGGTTACGGTCTGAGGGGGAGATTACCGAGTTGAAGTCACCGGCGAGGATTGTGGCAGCAGCTGCGGTGGGTTGCTCCAGAGCGGGAGTTAGGATGGATCTCCACCAGATCCGGCGGTCAGTGGCAGGTCTCGGCGCATAGATAGCGAGGATGCGAAGTTGCTCCCGCAGGAAGTTGATATGTACGGATAGAAGGCGGCCATCGGCGGAGGGGGAAGGGGAGGTGAGAGATATTGCTCTGTTGAAGGATAAGATGGAGATGCCGCCGGGTTGCGGACATGGATGACCGTTTGAATTCAGTGCGTAGAGGGTGGGTGCGTGTACCGAAGAGTGTGGCCAGAGTTGGAGTGACAGTTTAGGTAGGTTTTTGGAGAGGCGTGTATCCACTAAAATGAGAATATCTGTGTGCGGTGAGGAGGAGGAGAGCCAACGCTTTAGAGCATTTCGTTTAACCGGCGTATTGATACCATTGATGTTGAGGCAGCGGACTCGTAGGGGCGTTAACATTCTACCAGGTGGGAGCCCACCGCGCAGGAGTGTGCGCGGATCCACGGGCGTGGGTGTTTATACAAAAGGGAAGGAAGTTGGTGGAGGTTGTGGGTAACAGTCGAGCTGTCAACGAGTGCGAACCGAAGTTGGTGGTGGGTATGCTGGCATATTGGTTTGATTCGGACAACACCAGAGGCGCACAAGAAGGTAGGGAGATGTTGGGCGACAGAACCAGGGTGTAGAGGTGCCGCATACAAGTGAAGCTTGAGCAAGTGTGTGTTAAACTTAAGAGTGAGAAGTGAAGGGCTCCAGTTTTGAGTAGTAGCGAAGCTGATAGGTGGCGTGTGATCAATAATGCTTGAATGCGGCAAGGTGAAGCGTGGGATGAGTCTGCCTTTATGAGAGCAGTAAAAGTTGTATTCCTGGGTAGTGACGAGGAGAGTACACCGGGGGTCGGGAGTGCTAGCGTATTCACAGGTGGAGCATGTCAACCATGACGACGTATGAGAACAAGTAGCGAAGTAACGCGGGGCATGCGGACGAGGGTCAGCAGGAACAAACGTGGTGGCAGGCGGACGAGGGGGGCTCTCTGGCGGGACCATCTCGCCTCTTCTGTGTCCGTGCGAGGGTTGATTTCGGTCGGTAGGTGCGTCGACCGAGTGAGAACCTCTGGCGGGAGGGGAGGCCACGATTACAGGGGGAGATTTTAAGGCGGGTGTGAGGAGGTGTTGCGGCCGCTGACGGCGGTCGGGCGTACAAATGGGGGCGTGTGTGATAAACAGGCGTGGATGCTCGCTCTGGTGATTCATGGTGAGAGTGAGCTTGACATGGCTGCGCGTTAGGCGAGTGTCAAGCGGGGTTGGGGTATTGGTGTTAGTATTTTGGGGGGTTAGCCGACTGCGAAGGTCGTTCATTGTTGGGGCTTGGTTTGGACTGTTCACGGTAAGGCAACAATTGTGAGGGTGTGTGATCATGGTGGTTGGCTTGAAGCACACGCGTGCGGGGGGACGCAACTCCACCGGGCTGGCCAGGGCCTGAGGTGGCTGGCTTGGCCTGTGCGCGAGGGGTGAAGGTTGGTAGAAGCGTGAGGTGGGTGAGGCAGGTGTGGGGTTGAGTAGTTGTTGGGGTGAGGGTTTAAAAATGGCGTATTTGGTTTTTTGCGTAGATGTGAGAGTTGGAGTGAAGACTAGCAAGGAAAATGATAATACGTAGAGTTTGACAAACAAGATTGTGCGCACATGAGTTGCATATCCAAGGTCTAACTGGGTGCCTGCTAAATGACAGAGCCAAGGAACTAGCCACGCATCAAAGCCAAGGTGCGCAGGTCGTAACGCTAAGGGCGACCGCGAAGGAAGGCAGCCACCGGGGCCTTCTGCTGCAGCAGGGTGAGTGCGCGCCAGGGGCCAAATTCTTCCTTGGCAGCCGGGCGGTGAGCGGAGGCCTTCACGCAGTTGACGTGCAGGTCGGACTGGATATGCTCCATGGCGCTGTCGAGGGCAGCGCCGCAGGTGAAGTCGCAGAGAGCGCAGGTCCAATATTTGACCCAATCGCCCAGCCCAATGTAGAGGAGGCCGGGGTCGTTGCCGAAGGCGGTCGGCGCGGCATGATTGCCCAAAGAGTTGCCTGCAAGAGAGGAGGCGGGTGGGGGGAGACCGGGGGGGCAGGGGGGACGAGGGGGTGGACGAGGGGAGGGGAGGGGGAGTCAGGGAGGAGGGGGATGTGGGGGTGAAGGCCAAGAGGGGGGAGACCATGAGGTCTGGTTGGCTGCGGGTGGAGGGAGGTGCAGAGAGGGGTGGGAGGTGCGGGGGAGGGGCAGGGGTGTTCGGGGGCCCAGGCGGGGGGGGGAGAAGGAGCCAGAGGGGGGTGGATCGGCCTGCTCGAGAGCAATGAGGGAGAGGCCGGGGGAAGAGGGCTGTTGGCAGAGGGGGGGAGCCTCGGTGGGGATCGGGCAGCCCGGTTATAGCACAGGGGGCGGTTGCAGATGGGTTCCTGAGTGGGTGGGGGGTGAAGAAAGTGAAGAGGGTGTTGAAAAGAGTGAGGGGGGGGAAGGCGAGATTGAGGGTAGGGGGGGGGAGGAGGGGAATCGGGGGAGAGGAAGTGGGGGGGGGAAGTCGGGGGGTCGGGGGAGCAGAGAGGGGTGCTGGTTGAAAAGGGGGGGATAGGGCAGGGGGAGAGGAGCGTCTCCATGCCAGCATAAGGTTGGGCAGGGGGCCCGCCCTCTGGAGAGATCGTGGGAGGAGTGTCGGGAGGGGGCAGAGAGGGGGGTACCGTAGGAGGGTCCAGTCTGCTAGTGGGAGGGGGGTGCGGGTGGGGGGCGAGCTTGTGGGAGGGCGGGGTACTGTCCTCCGAGGGGGAAGGGGCGGGAGTGTAGTGGGGGGTGGGGTTGACGTGGGTAGGGGCAGGGGGTGGGGGATCATGGGTGAGAAAGAGATTTCGCGATGCGGAGATTGCGTGGGGGGTGTGGGAAGATGGGGGAGTCGTGAGGGTGGGCGGAGGCCCGACTGTAGGGGGGGGAGAGGAGGGTACAGAGGTGACAGGGGCTGAGCGTCCTTGGGCGGGGGCTTGCCTGCATGTGTTGGAAAGAGCAGGGAGGGGGGGGTGGCGTGGGGGGGAAAAGGGGTTGAGTGGGAGCCCCACAACATGGGGGGCCGGGGGTGGGGGGCTGTAAGGGAGGGGTGGGTGACAGGGGGGAGGACAGGGTGAGGGGGGGCAGTTGGCACAGGGAGAGGAGTGAGAAGGGAGGGGACGAGGGGAGTGGGTAGGGGCAGAATGAAAGTGGGGGTGGCAGGGGCCCGGACGGCCGTGCGGGGGGGGGGGACAGCAAGGCAGTGGGGGGCGGGGGCTCTTTGGGAGGGAAGGACAGCGGGGGGGGAGCGCGGGTGTTGGATGGGAGCATGAAGGTTGCGCGATAGGGAGGGGGTAGACCGAGGGGGGAGTGGTGAGAGGATGGGGGGCAGCGGAGGAGCACATGAGGAGGCAACGGAGGCAGGCTAAGGGCGTGCAATGACAACAGGGAGGGAGGATTTTTGCGGTTAAGACAAGAGGGGAAGATTTCGTACCGTTTGCCTGCTGCAGCTGAGCGATTGAGATGGTGTTCTTGTTCGTGAGGCGTCCTCGGCGGCGGGCAGCGAAAGTCTCGTGGTCCGGTGCGCGGTGGTTGTTACCGCACAGCGTGCACACGTGGCAGGAGAAATTGAGCAGCATAGTTGGCTTGTTCTCCTCCAGCAGGAATTCGGACGGGATTCGTTCGAAATTCGGGTCATCGGGGGTGGCGACCGGGAGTCCTGCGAGGTGAGTGAAAAAGGTGTTCTCGTAGGGGTCGGAAGCGCGGTGAAAGTCAGTCAGATCCGCGAGCCAATGCGAACCATCCTCCTCGGTGGACCCGAGGAGGAAGGCGCGGATCTCCTCCGGATCGATCTCCAGGGGGACGTTTCGGATAGACAGGGTAGGAGCGCCGGCTGCCTTTGCCGCGGTAAAAGCTTCATACCGATCAACAAAGACCTTCAACATGACGGGGCAGGAGTTGGAGATTTTCAGCATGAGAGGAAAAAGCTTGCGAAAAACAGCCGCGTCTTCCTGCGACGGCCAAGAGAACAGCAGGCGGCCGTACACGTGGCGGGCCACGCGGAGGGAGTCGCCGACAGTGTGCTCGAAGAGGGGGATGATGCCCGAATCGAACATGAAGCCGCACAGCTGCGCGTTGATTCCGGCGAGGATTTCCGTGCGGTGCGACTCCAACAAGGCCTCCGGGAGGAGGAGCGTGACTACCACGCGGCGGCGAAGGGGAAGGAGCATCGGGGTGGCTGCGGAGGTGCGCGCACGGCGGAGGTTGCGGGGGGGTCCGCCGGGCGCGGATGAGGCAAAGAGCGAGGCGGGCAGCGCGGGAGCCGGGTTAGCGCCGGAGGCGGCCGTTGCGTAGGCAGCAGCGCGGAGAACCGGGGCGTTGGGGGCGGCAGCTGTTGCTGCCAGAGAGGGCGCATGGCCTTGCTGAGTCAACGTGGGAGCAGCAGCGGCAGCGAGGAGCACAGGAGACGGCGCGGGCTGCGCCAGCGCCGAGTCGGAGGAGGTGGAGGGGGAGTTGAAGCTAGCAGGGCCAGCACCGGGGTCCATGCAGGGCTTCTTCGCAGCAGGGTAGTCAGGGGAGCTCGCGAGGTCATCGAGTAGTCCTTCGGGAAGGTCGTCGACCAAGAGATCGTCGCCGGATTCAGCGATATTTTCCTCTTCAGCGGCGGACATCGTGAGATCGGGGTTGAAAACCTGCTCAGCCATACAGAAGAATGTGTAAAGGAGTCGTAGGGGACTGGGAGGAGAGAAGTGAGTGATTGACGAAGGCTGAGGTGGGTTAAATAGGGCGGGAGCGAGGGAGCGCCCGCGGGGGAGCGTCAGGACGGAGGGGAGGCAGAGGAGCGGCGGAGGCGGAAGGGCGTGAGGCCGTGGAGGCGAGGCTCTGATGGCGGCTCGTTGGGAAGGGTTGGGAGGAGGGCGGACGGGAAGGGGAGTGTCGGGAAACGCATGGGCAGCGCGTAGGCAACGGGAAACGTGGCGACGTGGCGAGTAAATTGAGGGCCAGAGGCGGGAGTGGGCGCCTAGTTGGCAGCCCGAAACCCGGGACCGTTCGAGGGTCCGAGCGCTCGCGCGCGAGAAACGAAACTGGCAGCCTAGGCGGCGCGCCAAGTTTCTGAGCCATGTAGTGGGCTCTGCCGGAGGCGGCAATTGAGTGGAAAGCGGGGCAAAGGCAGCAAAATTGCCAGAAGGGACGGGAGATCCGGGAGTGTTGGCGCTTGGGAAGGCACGGAAGTACAGAGGCAAGAGGAGATAGCACGTAGGCGAAAAAGGCGGGACGAAGGCAGGGGTGAAGGCGACCAGAAAAACGGGAGGAGATGGGGGGTTAGCTGTATTCGGCGATTGCAGTTTGTCGAGGAAGTCCTTGGAGTTCGATGCAGAACGGGACAGCTTGGCAGGAGGAGGCCGATCTGTTGGTGAGGGTTTGGAAACAACGCAACCGAGCTTCCTGGGAGGGGACGGGGCTGAGGCGAGGGAGTGGCGTGAGATTGGGTGAGTGCGCACAAAAAAAGGGAGGGAAGTTGGGGTTAGCTGGCGCTGAGGTTGGAGCAGAAATTTGCAGTGAGCGCGAGATGCCACGGGGGAAAAAGAGAAGGGGAGGGTTGCACTTACCTGGAACGAAGGTTGACGTGGCGCGTTGAGGCTGGGAGGGAGTCCGCCAGGGATCCGTTGGGGGAGGGAGTGGCCAATTGGAGTCAAAAAAAAGGAGGGGGCGGGGAGTGGGGGGCTATCCTGCTGGTGTAGAGCCGGGGTGGGGAGTAGCCACGTGAAAACGAGAGCTGTAGAAAAGAAAAAGAAAAGGAAAAACGATAGCATAAACTTACCTGGAAACGAAGCTGAGTCGTATAGGGGGAACCTGCCTAGGCGGCTTAGGGTTTGACTAGCTTCGTAGCCTAACAGGCGGGTAGTTTGGGCCGAGGAGGCCATCGCGCTATCGGTCGGGAAGGCCCCGACGGAAAGGGGAGGGGGCGTGAGAACTTTGTATTGTAACATTGCACTATTTTGTGTGGTTCATAGTGAGTTGTTTTCAGCCCACTCAGTGTCACATGATTGTGCGTGTGTTTTCACGTGACAAACCCACCCACCTGCTGCCTCTTTCTCCCGACCACCCACCTCGTCATAGCCTCTACCTCCACCCCGCCATCCTTTCTTTCCCACCGCGCCGTCCTCTCTCCCTTCCACCCGTCGTCGCCTCCCACCCGCCGTCGCCTCCCACCCGCCGTCGCCTCTCCTTCCTACCCGCCGTCGCCTCTCCCTCCTCCTCGCCGTCGCCTCTCCCTCCTCCCCTCCGTCGCCTCTCCCTCCTCCCCGCCGTCGCGTTTCCCTCCTCCCCGCCGTCGCCTCTCCCTCCTCCCCGCCGTCGCCTTTCCCTCTTCCCCGCCGTCGCCTCTCCCTCCTCCCCGCCGTCGCTTCTCCCTCTCGCCGTCACCTCTCCCTCCTCCCCGCCGTCGCCTCTCCCTCCTCCCCGCCGTCGCGTTTCCCTCCTCCCCGCCGTCGCCTCTCCCTCCTCCCCGCCGTCGCCTCTCCCTCCTCCCCGCCGTCGCCTCTCCTTCCCTCCCCGCCGTCGCCTCCGGCGACAGGTGCACGAGCGCAAGCGAGACTTGGTGTGCGAGTGCGGGTTGGTGCGCGAGCGCGGGCTGGTGCGCGAGCGCGGGTTGGTGCGCCAGCGCGGGTTGTTTTCTGAGGCACCGTTGTTATCAGGTGCGTTCCCGGTCCTTTCATCCACCCTTCCGCCTCTGATATTTCCTCACTTAATTTTTGCTTCTTTGTAAAATTTGTGTGTCATTGGTTTCCTCTTGCATTGCACTTTCATTTGAAGAAGGGGAGAGACGGAGAGCGAGGGAGAGCGTGTGCAAGGGAGCGAACGCGCAGGAGAGTGCGCGTGAGAGAGCGCGTGAGTGCGCGTGAGAGAGCGAGTGAGATTGCGCGTGAGAGAGCGCGTGAGTGCGCGTGAGAGAGTGGGGAGAGAGCGCGTGAGAGAGTGCGTGAGTGTGCGCGTGAGAGAGCGCGTGAGTGTGCGCGTGAGAGTGCGCGTGAGTGTGCGCGTGAGAGTGCGCGTGAGAGAGCGCGTGAGATAGCGCGTGAGGGAACACGTGAGAGTGCGCGTGAGAGAGCGCGTGAGGGGGCGCGTGAGAGAGCGCGTGAGGGAGCGCGTGCGCAAGTGCATGAGAGAGCGCGTGAGAGAGCGTGTGAGTGTGCGCGTGAGAGAGCGCATGAGAGTGCGCGTGAGAGTGCGCGTGAGTGTGCTTGTGAGAGTGCGCGTTAGAGAGCGTGAAAGAGCGTGTGAGAGAGCGTATGAGAATGCGTGTGAGGGAGCGTGTGAGAGTGCGTGTGAGGGTGCGCGTGAGAGAGCTCGTTAGAGAGAACGTGAGAGAGCGTGTGAGGGTGCGCGTGAGAGTGCGCGTGAGAGAGCGCGTGAAGGGGCACGTGAGTGTGCGCATGAGTGTGCGCGTGAGAGAGCGCGTGAGAGAGCACACGAGAGTGCGTGTGAGAGCGGGTGTGAGAGAGCGCAGGAGAGAGCGTGTGCGAGAGCGCGTGAGAGAGCGCGTGAGTGTGCGCGTGAGAGTGCGCGTGAGAGTGCGCGTGAGAGAGCGCGTGAGGGAGCACGTGAGTGTGCGCGTGGGAGTGCGTGAGAGGGCGCGTGAGAGGGCGCGTGATAGAGCGCATGAGAGTGCGCGTGAGAGTGCACGTGGGAGACGCGTGCGAAACTTGTGAGAGTGTGCGTTAGAGAGCACGTGAGGGTGCGCGTGAGAGTGCGCGTGAGAGTGCGCGTGAGAGAGCGTGTGAGAATGCGCGTGAGAGTGCACGTGAGAGAGCGCGTGAGAGTGAGTGTGAGAGTGCGTGTGAGAGTGCGTGTGTGAAAGTCTAATTGCTGTCTTTGATTGATCTATGCGTTCTTCAACACCATTTTCTATTGTTCTTATTTCGTTTCTAGTGCATGCGTGAGCTGCGTTCTCTGTTTTTGTTTTCGTGTGCAATGCTGTGAAGTGTACTCTTTGTTTTTGCTTTCTACGGGTGAGTTGCATTTCCTGCTTGGCCTCTTCGTAAGTTACACTATATGTTTTAGTGCTTTTTTGTACAGAGTGTGTGAACATTCTCTGTTTTTGCCTTTTTCTTGTGCAGGGCATGTACTTTGCATTCTCTGTTTTTGCTTTGTGCAGGGCGTGTGAGCTGCATTCTTGAATTTTGTTTGGCGGAGAAGGGAGATGAGGGAGGGGGTGGGAGGGAGATGAGGGAAGGAGGGGTGTAGGGAGGGTAAAGAGGGGATAGGCTAGCGATGATTTATGAATGGTAACTGAACTCCATTGGTGATGGTTGGTGTTTATCACCGGTGGCTGTATGTATCTGTGCTTGTTTGCATGTGTGTGTGTCAGTGTGTGCGTGTGTGTTAGTGTCTGACTCTTTGTCATGCTTGTTTGCTCTCTCCTCATTGTATGTATGCGTGTGTATATATATGTGTGTCAGTGCATGTGTGTGTGTGTGTATCATCCGTGCGTCGGTATGTGTGCTTGTGTGTGTGTCAGTTGGTTGGTTGTGATTATTTCAAGGTGTGGTGCTGGTATGCATCGTGTTAGCAGTTGAGGTTGTCATCGTCGTTGGGGCAGTGTGTTTCACTGTGTCAACGACCCCATCAACCTCAGCTGCAGCATTGGTGCATATTAAGCATCCATTTTGATGTCTTCACAACTTTTGTGACGTTGTGCATTTCGTGTTTGTGAGGTGTATGTGTTTCAAGGCAAGGTGTTACATTGCATCGTGTATGCAACTAGAGGTTGTCATCGTCGTTGGGGCAGCGTGTATTCGCTGTTTCAACGGCCCCATCAATCTCTTTTGCTACATTGACACAGTTTAACATCTCTTGAAACATCCGCACCACACTTCATACTGTGTTCATTTGTACAAATGCATTCGCTCATGTTGGTGCCATGTTCGATCGTACCATCCGCCGTATTAATCGACGATGCTGGGACGGTCGGAACAAAATCATGGTTTCAACATGATACGTATTTGGTTTCACTTTCAGGATATCTCATTCATGAGTGATTTTTATCCACTATTTGAGGCATTCTCTTGAACAAGGTGCAAAAAAGTTCAAGCGGGTGCCCCAAAGAGTGCCCCAAAAAGTGAAACCAATTATATAGGGTTGCTACGCAACCCAAAAAATGGAAGGCCAGTATTCGACCCAACTATGGGCATGGTAATATTGTGTTTTCTTCCTTCATATGCTATCAATTGGTTCAAGGTATCTTAGGGTACATTTCGCTGTGGACATGTCCCTTAAGAAAGAGTCGCAATCGATTTTCCGCCGAGTCGCGTCCAAATGTCTCGACACCTCATGTCACAAAGAATGAATGTATTGCGACCTGGATATTGTGCGCGACAATCACATGTGCTGCGCCATGATTGGCTCCAACATTCACGATGCACACTTCGAAAAGTTTGGGTGTGGCCATAATGGGCAGACAAAATTGCCACTTCGCACCCAATGTAGCACAGGCCTGCAGAGATGACAGGCGCGGGATTGTTGCGATCTTTTCGCGCTCTAAACAACCAATCCCTGCTCGTTTTGTACAATCGTGTGAAAATTTCGAGCTGTAACTAGATGTCCAGATACAGGCAGATGGGCCTGACATTTGGAGCCGCGTGCGATGGCTGGTCCAAGACACGGTTGCTTGCAATTCGCGTGCGACTGTTCCGTGGTTCACGGTATCCAATGATAAATACACGCCAGAACATTCTCACGCGGTCTGGAATCCTGACACCTGGCAGCATATGCTGTATTCACGCGTCACAATCGATTGCGACGCTTTCTTAAAGCCAGCAGCTAAAATAGTGAACCCCATCCCAACTTGAAAATGAGTTTTTTCGTAAGCCCTTTGAAGCGATCGAGAACACTGTTTCAAACAACCGTCTAAACAGATCGAGCTTACGTGATTGGCTCCCGCCAAAACAAAATTTGCAGCTTGTACAAGGAGTCGCATTCGTGTACTTGCACGACGGTTGCACGACAATGGTTTCGATCGCTGGACCCAGCTTCATGTTCAAGCTGTCCATGGGTTCACTACTACCGTAGCTAGTTTCGGCTCCTGAAGACTATTTTTCAGCCTAACATAGAATAGCTGAGAACCTAGACATTTTCTGCCTAGGCGCGTCGATTATGTTTTAACTTGGATGCCTAATAATTTAGTAGAATATCAAATTGTTTTCCGCATATCGCGAAATTGTCACATTCCCCGTCGCAATCGGCCTCGCTCTGACGTCGCTGCGTCACTCTTTGCAACGTCGCCATCACGCTCGCAACGAAACGCCCTCCCATCGCCCTCCTCTCTCCCGTCGCCTTTCCTCTCTCCCGTCTCCTTTCCTCTCTCCCGTCGCCTTCCTCTCTCTTATCGCCTTTCCTCTCTCCCATCGCCTTTCCTCTCTCCCGTCGCCTTTCCTCTCTCCGTCGCTCTTCCTCTCTCCCGCCGCCCTTCCTCTCTCCCGTCGCCTTCCTCTGTCCCGTCGCCTTTCCTCTCTCTCGTCGCCTTCCCTCTCCCGTTGCCCTTCCTCTCTCCCATTGCCAGTCCTCACCCCCCTCGCCCTTCTTATTCCGCCTCCCGCCGCCCTCGCGTTCCATCACAATCGACTTCCCAACGCACTCCACCCTCCGTGTCCACCTCCCATTGCTCGTACTGTCGCTCGTCCCGTCGCCCGTCCAATCGCACGTACCATCGCATGTCCCGTCGTTCGTTACGAACGCCCTCCCATTCTGACGCCCTCGCGAAATCTCCAACCATCTCGTAGTAATATCGATCTTGCTATCCCCCCTTCCTTCCGCTCAAAGTACCTCCCCTCGCGTCGTTCCTTTACTCTTCCCTCCCCTCCCGTCGATCCCTCTTCAGGTCCTTGTTCCCGTTCCCTCGCTCTCTCCCCCCCCTTTCCGTCGCCCTCGCTCTCTCCCCCCCCTTTCCGTCGCCCTCGCTCTCTCCCCCCCCTTTCCGTCGCCCTCGCTCTCTCCCCCCCCTTTCCGTTGCCCTCGCTCTCTCCCCCTCCTTTCCGTCGCCCTCGCTCTCTCCCCCTCCTTTCCGTCGCCCTCGCTCTCTCCCCTCCCTTTCCGTCGCCCTCGCTCTCTCCCCTCCCTTCCCGTCGCCCTCGCTGTCTCCCCTCCCTTCCCGTCGCCCTCTCTCTCTCCCCTCCCTTTCCGTCGCCCTCGCTCTCTCCCCTCCCTTTCCGTCGCCCTCGCTCTCTCCCCTCCCTTCCCGTCGCCCTCGCTCTCTCCCCTCCCTTCCCGTCGCCCTCTCTCTCTCCCCTCCCTTTCCGTCGCCCTCGCTCTCTCCCCTCCCTTTCCGTCGCCCTCGCTCTCTCCCCTCCCTTTCCGTCGCCCTCACGTTCTCCTCTCATTCCACCAACACCAATGACCCTCCTATCTCCCTACCATTCCGCGGGTTTTGCCCACGCATCTCTCATTTCGCGTCCTCGTTTCTGTTGACTATCTTTCTCTTTGCTCGTCCCCTGATATTCTCTGTTTTCCGCTTCTTGTTTTTCTCATGTTGTCATTGCCGCCCTAGCAGGGACATGCTCTAAGGCATTTGCTTTGCGTGAGTTGGACTTGCTTTGCATGAGTTGGACATTGCTTCACAATGTGAATTTAGCACTGGTTGTAAATGACTTGCACGTCGCAAACTTGGAGCGACGCTTTTGCACATGCTGGCGATGATTTATGTTTGAGAAGAAATGTGGAGAGTCGACCAGTATCATATGCGCCAGTAAAAAAAAAAAACAGAACAACACTTTCAAATGGACCCAACTAGAAGGGGGGGGTCACTATTTTAGCTGCGGGCTTTAAGGGACATGTCCACAGCGGAATGTATGTCAAACTTGTGTTATAATCTGTTTAGGCTGTAGTGGTTAGACAATAGGGAGTACAACATTTCCAGGTTTCCCTTTTGTACCCAACTCATTTCTAGTCATTTCATTCCTTGTAATTTTCACATGGTATAGAGCAAGTTTCCTAGTGGGAACGTTTCCTAGGGCCCACCAACTATTACGATTTTTTTTTTCCTTACCTGCCCAAACCACGCTTCGCACCTGCCCTAGTCGCGCCCCGTGCGCCTGCCCTCCCGTCGCGTCCCCTGCCCTTAGCGGCCCGTCGCGCCTCTTAAGGCCCCCTCGCTGCCCCTTCTCAGCCCTTCGCGGCCCCTTCGCGGCCCTTCGCGGCCCCTTCGCGGCCCTTCGCGGCCCCCCTTAGCAGCCCTTCGCGGCCCCCCTTAGCGGCCCTTCGCGGCCCCCTCACGGCCCTTCGCGGCCCCCTCACGGCCCTTCGCGGCCCCTTTGCGGCCCGTCGCGGCCCCCTCACGGCCCTTCGCGGCCCCTTCGCGGCCCTTCGCGGCCCCTCTCCTGGCCCTTCTCGGCCCCTTCACGGCCCTTCGCGGCCCCTTTGCGGCCCTTCGCGGCCCCCCTCCTGGCCCTTCGCGGCCCCTTCGCGGCCCGTCGCGGCCCCTCCTCGCGGCCCTTCGCGGCCCTGCCCCGTCACCTGCTGCGGCCCCGCCCTGCCCCTCTCGCCCGTCGCGGCCACCACCTGCAGCAGCCGCCGAGGAGCTCTGCAGCAGCCGTCGAGGAGCTCTGCAGCAGCTGCTGTCCCTGTCGCCGCCGCCGAGCCTGCCTCTGTCGGTGTGCCGCGCCGCCGCTGCCGCTGCCGTCGCTCCTGCCCCGGCCCTGCCCTGCAGCCGAGCCGCGGCCCTGACCTGCCGCCCAGTTGCGGCCCCGCCCCTGCTGGCGCACCGCGGCCCTGCCCCACCAGTAGCGGCCTCCCTACCCACCCGCCCCTGGTAAGCGCACCGCCGCACCGCACCGCCCTGCCTAGCCGAGCCGCCTTACCTAGCCGCGCCGCCCTATAGAGTCGCGCCGCTACTGCTGCTCCTACTGCTTTTACTGCTCCTCCTACTGCTGTCATGGCTGCCCCCAACGTACTGAAGTTCGATGCTGAGGGTCGGGCAGTAGACTTTGAGGTCTGGGTCGATGACCTACAGCTGTTCCTGCAGTGCGATAGCAAGGATCAGGTCTCGCTCTTTGATCTTACGTCTGGCGCCTCTGTTGCACCTGCTGCCACTGCTGACAGTGCTGTTCGCTCACAGTGGACCACGCGCGATGCTGCTGCCCGCCTTGCTATTCGCAGTCACCTGCCGTTTGCTGAGCGCGCGCACTTTAGTCAGTACAAGACCGCTAGGACTCTGTACGACGCTGTTGTTGCGCGCTACTCCTCCCCTGCCACTGCTGCCCTTAGCCGCCTCATGCTGCCGTACCTGTTCCCAGACCTAGCCACTTTTGCCACAGTCGCTGACCTCATTACGCACCTCCGCACTAGTGACACCCGCTACCGCGCAGCGCTTCCTGCTGAGTTCTGCGCCAAGAACCCCCCCCCTATGTACATCACTCTCTACTACCTCGTTACCCGGCTCCCTGACTCCCTTTGCTCGGTCAGGGACCACTTCCTCTCACTTTGCCCCACCACGCTCACTGTTGACCTCCTCGAGGAGCGCCTCCTTGCAGCTGAGAAGAGTATAGTCGCTGTAGGAGCCTCTCGTGGTGACCCCCATGCCCCTTTCTTTGAGGGGTGCTCCCCCTCTCCCCTCTTGCCCTCTGTTGCCTCTGCTGCTGCTGTCGACCTCGTTGGCACAGAGTCGGTCGGCACCGCGTCTGCCCCTAGTGGCAAGCGCCGCAACAGCAAGGGCAAGTGGGGCAAGGGGGGTGGAGGGGGCGGCGGGGGCGGCGGCAGTGGCGGGGGAGCAGGAGGAGTGGGTGGCGGTGGAGGTGGGAGTGGTGGCGGGACTGGGGGCGGCGGCGGTGGAGGTGGAGGCGGCGGAGGCAGCGGGAGTGGGGGTGGAGGTAGCGGCGGCGGCGGAGGCGGTGGGAGTGGCGGGGGTGGTGGTGGGCAGCGGGGAGGCTCTAGCGGTGGCCAGCGCCAGCAGCAGCAGCGCTCCCGTGAGACCCTGTCGCCTCAGCAGCTTCGTGAGTGGTACGCTGGGCGTGGGAGGTGTGGGGGTGCTGGTCCCTGCACCTACGTTCTTCGCACAGGCGACCGCACTGGAGAGCCCTGCGGCGGCCCGCACACCACTCCACGCTGCTTTGGCCGCCTGACTGACGCCTGGCGTACTCAGTTCCCTGGCTCCTCTGAGATCCCTCGCTGGGATATTCTGCTTAAGTCGGGGGTTGCTATCTTTGATCTTGACTATGATGCTATGTCAGAATGTTGTATTTGTCTAGCCTGCAGTGGGGTACTCTATAGCGAGTACAGCCCAATCTAGGGTTTCCTATATGTACTCAACTGCTTGCTAGTGAAACCCCTCCTTTCTTCATTCTTACTTTCTACTGCTAGTTCTGACATGCTATCAGAGCAGGTCGATCCCCTTGGGTCGATCCTGTGGATGGGCCCACCACCTCACTGCTTCCGCTGCTACTGCTATTCTGTGTGTTGCACGCCCCGTGGCGTGCGACGGATTTTTCATCCCGCCGCGCGCTCGGAGCGTGCGGCGGTTTTCTGCCCGCCGTGCGCCCCGAGGCGCGCGGCGGTTTTCTGCCCGCCGTGCGCCCCGAGGCGCGCGGCGGCTTTCTGCCCCGTCACTCCGCGCGTCGCTCCCGGGAGGCGCTGCGACGGGCGACGGGGACCCGCGCGTCGCCCCCCGTCGCCCGTCGCGGCCTGCGCGACCTGCGTAGGGCCCGCGCGCGGCCCGTACAGCCTGCGCGCGGCCCGTACGGGCTGCGCCAGGCCCGCGCGCGGCCCGTACGGGCTGCGCCAGGCCCGCGCGCGGCCCGTACGGGCAGCGCCAGGCCCGCGCGCGGCCCGTACGGACTGCGCCAGGCCAGGGCGCGCCTCGGGCCGCCCGCACGCGGTTCGTACGGGCTGCGCCAGGCCCGTGGGCGCCCTGTTTTCTCTGCCCCTGCGCTGCCCGCTGTCCCCCGTGCTTCTGACGGCGCCCCACCCCTGCTGCTGCCCGTTCTCCTGAATTAGGGTTTGGGGGTGGGGGATATGGGGGTGCAGTTTCTGTGCGTCGTCCCCTACTCCTCCTCCTCCGTCTCCCAGTGCTGCAGCTGCCGCTGAGGGGGGTGGGTGTGTGGGAGCCGAAGGAGTGGTACTAGGGGGGTGACGTGCAAGTGGAGTTAGGAGTGAAGCAGTGGGTGTGTGGGGGGTGTGTGGGACAGTTGGAGGAGGTTGAGCGGAGGCTGCTGTCTTGTCGTCCGCAGCACCTGTAGTCCGGGGCGCACTGTCTTGGTAGCCCAGAGAGTCTGCTGCGCCTGTCGCCCGAGGGTCCGTTGCTCCTGTAGCTCGTCGTAGCCCGTGAGCCAGTTACTCCAGTAGTCCGGGGCGCACTGTCCCGGTAGCCACTGTGCCAGCAGCTCCTGTTGCCCGTGTGTCTGCAGCTTCAGCCGCCGTCTCTCATCTTCTCTCCTCTCACAGTCCCTCCTCCTCCTCACTTGCCCGTTGTGATTACCTCTAGCTTTGCTTCTTATTGTGAACTCCTACTATACCTGCTCATTGTGCTGATTACACCCCACTTTGGCTATGGGGGTGTGTCAGAATGTTGTATTTGTCTAGCCTGCAGTGGGGTACTCTATAGCGAGTACAGCCCAATCTAGGGTTTCCTATATGTACTCAACTGCTTGCTAGTGAAACCCCTCCTTTCTTCATTCTTACTTTCTACTGCTAGTTCTGACATGCTATCCTTGCTGCTATGTATGCTGTGTCTATTAGTGATGAGGGTGACTGTTACCTGTGTGTTCCCTAAACCCTAAACCCTAAACATTGAGGCTGCTGCTCTAGGTGCTAGTGAGTCTGTTGTTCCAGGTGCTGGTGAGACTGCTCCCTCAGGTACCACGTCGGCTCAGGCCTTGCACACTTTCACCCTTGACTCGGGTGCTTCCCGTTCCTTCTTTCGCGACTGCACCACCCTCTCGCCGCTCCGTCGGCCAGTGGCAGTCTCTCTGGCTGACCCCTCTGGGGGACCCGTTGTAGCCAGTTCCTCCACTGTCCTTCCGTGTCCTGCTGTTCCGTCCGGCTCGCTGTCTGGTCTTTACCTCCCCTCGTTCTCTACGAACTTGGTGGCGGGTGCTGATCTTCAGGATGGGGGTGTTCACCAGTTCACCCCTGCCCACCAGCGTGTGACACACTGCACGTGTGCTCGGACGGGTCGTCACCTGGCCACGTTCACCCATAGGCCAGGGTCCAGCCTGTACACCCTTACCACTGAGTCTCCTCCTCGTCAGGTAGCCGCGTCGGGTCAGGTGTTTGCTGCAGCGTCCCGGTCTGGCCCTGAGTCTGCCCCCTGCTCGTGTCGCCTCCTGTCTCACGAGACTCTCCTTTGGCACCACCGCCTTGGTCACCCCTCCCTGCCTTGTCTCAGAGGCATGGCCTCCCGTGTCCTTGTCTCTGGTCTCCCCCCTTCCCTTCCTCCCCTTCCTCCGAGGCCTGCCCCTACCTGCGTTCCCTGCGTCGAGGGACGGCAGCGCGCCGCTCCTCACTCCTCCGAGTTTCCCCCGACAGAGGCTCCCCTGCAGACTCTTCACATGGACGTGTGGGGCCCAGCCCGCGACCGTGGACAGGGTCACGAGCGCTACTTCCTACTGGTTGTTGACGACTACTCGCGTTACACCACAGTCTTCCCCTTGCGCCGCAAGGGTGAGGTCACTGAGGTGTTGATCGACTGGATCCGCGCTGCCCGTCTCCAGCTCAGAGAGAGTTTCGGCTCGGACTTTCCTGTTGTGCGTCTGCACTCAGACAAAGGTGGAGAGTTTTCCTCCGACCTCCTGCAGGCCTACTGTCGGGCGGAGGGCATCCGCCAGACGTTCACGCTTCCGGCCTCTCCACAGCAAAATGGGATTGCTGAGCGCCGCATTGGCATGGTCATGGATGTCGCTCGTACGTCCATGATCCATGCGGCTGCTCCCCATTTTCTGTGGCCGTTCGCGGTTCAGTACGCGGTGCATCAGATTAACCTCCAGCCCCGGGTCTCCATGCCGGAGACCTCCCCCACCCTGCGGTGGACGGGGAAGGTTGGCGATGCGTCTGCGTTCCGTGTCTGGGGATCTCGAGCTTTTGTCCGCGACTTGTCTGCGGACAAGCTGTCCTCCCGTGCCGTTCCCTGCGTCTTCCTTGGCTTCCCCCCTGACGCGCCTGGCTGGCAGTTTTACCACCCCACCTCGCGCCGTGTTCTGTCCTCTCAGGACGTCACGTTTGACGAGTCGGTACCCTACTACCGCCTCTTCCCCTACCGCACTGCCCCCCTCCCCCCCCTGCCGCTCTTCCTTGCCCCAGGTCCTCCCCAGGTTGACCCCCTCCCCCCTCAGGGTCCTGCCCCCTCAGGTGTGTCCCAGGTAGACGCAGTCGAGCCTGTCGAGGTAGCTGTTGACTCTGGTGCTGCTAGGGGTACTGAGCCTGCGGATGCTGGGTCTGGGGGTGCTGAGCCTGAGCGTGCGGAGCCTGGGGGTGCTGAGTCTGGGGGTGCGGAGCCTGGGGGTGCTGAGCCTGGGGGTGCTGAGACTGGAGGTGCAGAGCCTGGGGGTGCTGAGTCTGGGGGTGCTGAGACTGGAGGTCCTCCGAGTGTCCCGTCGCGGCGGGAGCCCCTCTCTCCGCGGCAGCTTCGTGAGTGGTACGCTCGGCGCTGTAGCCGTGCTGCTCGAGCTGGGGGGCCTCCCCTTGGCGGTGCTGCTGGTGCTGGAGCTGCTGGAGGTGCTCCTGGTGCTGGAGCTGCTGGGGGTGCTGCTGGTGCTAGAGCTACTGGAGGTGCTGCTGGTGCTGGAGCTGCTGGAGGTGCTGCTGGTGCTGGAGCTACTGGAGGCGCTGCTGGTGCTGGAGGTGCTACTGGTGCTGGAGCTGCTGGGGCCGCTGGCCCTTGAGGTGCTCGTACTGGATGTACTGAAGCTGCTACTGGAGTTGGAGCTGTAGGTGCTGGAGCTGCTGGAGCTGCTGGTGGTGCTGCGGGAGTTGTAGCTGGAGACCCTGGAGCTGAGGGTACTGGAGCTGCCTCTGCTGGTCCTGGAGGCGCTGCGCGGCCGCGGCCGTACTTCGTTCCGCTCCTTCAGCAGGTTCTTGGTCTCCCACCTGCTACTGGTCCCACTCCCTCTTTCGAGTGTCCTCTACCTGTCCAGTCGCAGTCACAGTTACAGCCTGCCTCGCCACTCCCTGGTCCTTCTCCCTACACTGGTCCGACCGGAGGTCTTACGGAGCGTCGTGTGCCTGAGTCTCGTCCTGCGTCACCTTAGTCTCGCCGTGCGTCGCCTGTTCGTGTTGCTCGCACTGGTCATCGTGTTCCGCGTCAGCGTCCTCCTGCTGTCCCAGGCACACACCAGATGGCACTTCGTCCTTCCACTGCTCCACAGCGTGTCCCTCTGCCGTCTCCTCCTGCGTCCTCTCTTCCTGCTCTTGCTGACCCGGAGTCTGACTCCCTTCGTGCTGCTAGTCCTACTGTCACGCGTCTTCTAGCTACTGTTGTCACTGACCCTGCCTTTGAGTCTACTGCTTCGTCGGCTCTTGTTGCTGAGCTTGTCGACTTTGCTGCTCACTGTCGTCTCGACTACGCCGCTAGCCTAGTTGCTGAGTCTGAGTCTGTCTGTCCTCCGTCCGTCGGGGGTGAGTGTGCTCTTGGCACGGACGTCCTTGAGGACAGGCAGGAGGAGTTTGAGTGCTTTGCCGCTGCTTTACCTCATCTCGTGTCCATGCTGATTGCCCCTGAGGGAGACCCGGATGCACCAGACATCCCGACCCCGCGCTCTTACGCAGAGGCGATAGAGGGTCCCTACTCCTCTCAGTGGCAGTCAGCCATGGACGCAGAGATGGCTTCCTGGAAGTCCACAGGCACCTACGTCGACGAGGTTCCCCCGCCTGGGGCGAACATCGTCAGTGGCATGTGGATTTTCAGGGTGAAGCGGCCGCCGGGTTCTCCGCCTGTCTTCAAGGCGCGTTACGTTGCACGAGGCTTCAGTCAGCGTGCGGGAGTTGACTTCTTCCAGACCTTCTCCCCTACCCCGAAGATGACTACTCTTCGGGTTCTACTGCACATCGCCGCTCAGCGTGACTACGAGCTCCACTCTCTTGACTTCAGCACTGCTTTCCTACAGGGCAGCCTGCACGAGGAGATCTGGCTGCGCCGCCCGCCTGGCTTCACTGGATCGTTTCCTCCTGGTACTCAGTGGAGCCTCCGGCGGCCAGTCTACGGTCTCCGCCAGGCACCCCGTAAGTGGCACGACACACTGAGGACGACTCTTGCTGCTCTTGGGTTTGCTCCTTCTACTGCTAATCCGTCGCTGTTTCTGCGCACCGACACCACTCTGCCGCCGTTCTACGTTCTAGTGTACGTAGACGACCTGGTTTTTGCTACTGCTGACACTGAGGCACTCGCCCACGTGAAGTCGGAGCTGCAGAAGAGACACACGTGCACAGACCTGGGTGAACTGACAAGCTATCTTGGCTTGCGGATCACCCGGGACAGAGCACAGCGCACCATTACCTTGACTCCGTCACACATGGTGCAGCAGGTCCTTCAGCGCTTCCGCTTCACGTAATCCTCACCACAGTCCACTCCTCTGCCTACGCGCCACTCGCTCTCAGCTCTGCCTTTGGATGAGTCCGTAGAGCCGAGTGGCCCGTATCCAGAGCTTGTGGGGTGCCTCATGTACCTGATGACCTGCACTCGACCTGACCTAGCCTACCCTCTTAGCATCCTTGCACGCTATGTTGCTCCTGGCCGACACAGGAAGGAGCACATGGATGCTACTAAGAGGGTCTTGCGCTAGTTGTGCAGTACGTCGGGCATGGGGCTCGTGCTTGGAGGGCGACGTTCAGTGGTCCTCACTGGTCACGCAGACGCTTCTTGGGCTGACGACCTGGCTACTCAGCGGTCGTCACAGGGTTACACCTTCAGCCTTGGTTCCGGCTCTGTTTCGTGGCGGTCTACCCGCTCGTCTTCTGTTCTCGGCTCCAGCTGTGAGGCCGAGATCTACGCAGGGGCCATGGCTGCACAGGAGTTACGCTGGCTCACCTACCTGCTGACCGACCTGGGAGAGCCGCCTCGTTCTCCTCCAGTTCTGTACGTAGACAACAAGGCCATGCTGGCCTTGTGTCAGGAGCACAGACTGGAGCACAGAACGAAGCACATTGCACTTCGCTACTTCCTTGCACGTGAGCTGCAGCAGCGTGGTCAGCTGCGCCTTGCTTACGTGGCCTCTCAGGCCAACACTGCTGATATCTTTACCAAGGCACTTCAGCCTTGTGATCATCAGTGCTTCTGTACTATGTTAGGTTTTGTGCCTACCTGGCCTCACTTGCTTACCTCTTGACTTTGCTTTGTACTGTGATCTCTATATATATACTTGCATGCTTACACTTGCTAGGTTGTGATCACTGTACCTCTTGTTATATTATCAAACTGCACGTGAGCTGGTCTTGTGACCGCTTGCTTGTGCTCGGAATTTGTGTGGTATCCTTGAGATTCACCCTGAGCTTGCTTTGCTTTTCTTGACTGGTCGTGTGACCTCTTGTTCTCCCCCACTTGTGTCAAACTTGTGTTATAGTCTGTTTAGGCTGTAGTGGGTTAGACAATAGGGAGTACAACATTTCCAGGTTTCCCTTTTGTACCCAACTCATTTCTAGTCATTTCATTCCTTGTAATTTTCACAATGTACCCTTATAGGTGAGCTTATGTCTGTTATTGCGATGTCATGTTTTTGTAACATGTGTAGAGTTCTTGCTGTGAAGGGTTCCGTGAAGCGCGCGGGACTATCGATTTCCGCGGAGAGTTGGTCTTCCCGCCAAACCTGACTTGGACAACCGAGTCAAACGGGTATTCTAGGTTCGGCGAGAAGTCTGGGGCAATCACGCTAGAAGCCTCGACTTGCCATAACTCGGGTCCCACCCTGACCAACCGTGTAGCGAAATGGTAGGCGAAAATCTGGCGAAGCACATCTCGTGTCAGGCTTGGGCGTTTACGAGCCTTGACAGGTTCGGGTGTGCTACAGGTGGTATGTTTCCGCGATTTTAGCTGGATCGACTTTTGCTCTGCCAACGATGTCATTGCCAGCAGTCGAGCCGCTCACCCATCCTCCTCTCTTCCCTCCCCCTGCTCCATTTTCTGCTGTCTTCTCGAGTCTGTTTGCCTAGTACAAGTCCAGCCATTTGAAGCCACTTCTTTACTCGTCCTTGCAAACACAACTCTCCAAAATTTTATCTGCTTCCTTGTTGAGAACCTTACAAGCCTCATTCTCTGAAGCAGTGTGGGCTTCGTTATCAGTCGCTCTTATTCGCTTACGTACACTCCGCGCCATGGACATCTGGATGGCCAAGCCGTCGGTTTACAGTATCGTTTTCTCCTGCAAGTCGTTGGCCAAATCGACCAGCGAAGGCCGATCTGAAGCGCCCGGACACGAGAGCAAGTTAGAAGGTACGTGATCGAGCTTTTTGTGACGAAAAACTTAGTCTCACTCGCTTTCTTAAACCCACGAAATAACACGAGCCTTGGTCCTCGACCCCCCTTTTCTTCCTCTCTCTTTCTCCCTTTTTCCAGGAAACCGCTCCGTCCTCCCAGATAGACGTGAGAGAGAGTTAGGTTAGCACGCGAGTGCCAACCATTTCTCCTCCGCGTTCGTTCCGGCAGGTCTCGTCACGGCGTCGTGGTACGCACCGTCCGAGGCGTCTACCTCGTCGACGGAACCCGCGCCGGTCAACGTTGACCTTGTCGCCTCGTCGGACGCCTCGGATTCGTCCGTCGCTCCGACGTGTTCCGAATCCGGCGTCTCTGCCGCAACCGTCGCAAAATCCACGAAACCGGCGCCAGCTGCTACACCTCCTGCTCACCGCGCCGCTGCTACACCCGCTGCTCCGCGCGCGTGCCGTCGGCCGCTCGTGCTGAGCGCATACGACGGTGTGCTGGACCCCGAGCTGTTCGAGAAAACCGGCGAGTTGGGGCGTGGCGGGTTTGGCACGGTGGTGGCGATGCGGCGAGTGGAGAACGGCGAGGTGGTGGGCGAGTGCCCGGGCGTGCTGGGCGTGTGCGAGGTGCATCTGGGCGAGCAGCACGCGTACATGCTCTCCGACGTGTGCTCTGGCGGCGACCTCCGCGCCCTCATGCAGCGATGCAACGCTGCTGCAAGCAACGCCGCGGGAGACGCGGGGAGAGGCAAGGGGAGGCGGTGGTGGGGGAAGGCGAGCGGGGAAGGCGGGCGGGGAGGGGGAATGGCGGAGGCGGAGGCGCTGCAAGTGGTGAAGCACGTGGGCGACGCTGTGGTGTTCTGCCACGAGCGCGGCGTGGTGCATTGCGACATCAAGCCCGACAACATCCTCTTCGCCACTCCCACGCCCCTCTCCGCGCCCCTGCCTTGCTCCGCCGCCCCTGCTCCTGCTGCGCCTGCGCGCGCCTCTCCTGCTGCCCTCGGCCTGTCCGCGCCCGTCTCCCCAGCGCGCACCTCCCCCCGCCTGGCCGCGGGGGCAGTGCAGCTGGCGGACTTTGGGTTGGCACAAGTGGTGGCGGAGGGGCAGCGCGGGTGCAGCACTCCCGCAGGCACGCCCGGGTACATGGCACCTGAGGTCGAGGCCCTCTGCCGCCCTCGCTGCCCGCCCGCCCCGGGCGCCGCCAAGCACGCTAGAAGAGCAGCACGGAGAGCAGAGGTATTAAGCGCAGAGGCAGCGGGGTATGGGCGCGCAGCTGACGTGTGGTCGCTGGGGGTGACGCTGTACGAGATGATTGCGGGAGAGCGGCCGTACTCAGGGGAGGCGCCTCAGCAGGGCGAGTGGCGGGCGTGTGTGGAAGGGGCAGCGTGGGAGGGCGTGTTGGAGGAGTGTCGCGCGCTGGTGAGCGGCATGCTGAGAGTGCACGTGGAGGAGAGGCTCACCATGGCGCACGTGTGCCACCACCCCGCCATGATCCAAGCCTACTCTGAGCGTACCACTCACGAAGCTGCTGGGGTGAAAGAGTCTCGCGCGGACGACGCTGCTGCTGCACAGGGCCACTACAAGAAGCTCCCGAACTACCCACTCCAGGACGACTCCCACTACTGCCACCCTGACAACCCCAACTGGCATACCACTCACGAAGCTGCTGGGGCGTGAGGGACACACGCGGACGGCCCTGGAGCTGCATCTGGCCACGCCAGGAGCAGTAGTAGAAGCAGGAGCAGCAGTAGCGGTAGCAGCGCGGGCAGGGCAGTGCTCACCAGTGGTGGGAAGGGCAGGCGCACGACGGAGGCGACTGCGGGGCCGCTACAGCGGCAGGGCGAGGCCGCGACCGCGGCAGGAAGCTCCGCGGCAGTTGGTGCAGGGCAGGACCGGGCCGTGACGGCGGCTGGTGCAGGGCAGGGACAGGGCCGCGACGGTCGCTGCTGCAGGGGCGGCTGCTCCAGGGGCCAGGGGCAGCTCCTGCAGTGGCGGCTGCTCCAGTGGCTAGGGGCGGCTGCTGCAGGGGCGGCCGCTCCAGGGGCCAGGTGCGGCTGCTCCAGGGGCCAGGGTCGGCTGCTGCAGGGGCGGCTGCTCCAGGGGCGGCTGCTCCAGGGGCCAGGGGAGGCTCCTGCAGTGGCGGCTGCTCCAGTGGCCAGGGGCGGCTGCTGCAGGGGCGGCCGCTCCAGTGGTCAGGGGCGGCTGCTGCAGGGGCGGCCGCTCCAGGGGCTTGGGGCGGCTGCTGCAGTGGCGGCTGCTCCAGAGGCGGCTGCTCCAGGGGCAGCTGCTGCAGGGGCGGCTGCTCCAGGGGCGGCTGCTCCAGGGGCCCGGCGCGGAGTAGGGCAGGGGCGACGCCGCGGGCAGGGGCGACGCGACAAGCAGGGCGACGCGACGGGCAGAGGCGACGCCGCGGGCAGGGGCGACGCGGCGAGCAGGGCGACGCGGCGGGCAGGGGCGACGCCGCGTCAGCAGCTGGGCGCGGCCGCGTCAGCAGCAGAGCGCGGCCGCGTCAGCAAGAGGGCGCGGCCGCGTCAGCTGCAGGGCTGGCGGGGCCGCGTCACGGCAGGGCGGGGCCGCGATTGCGGCCTGACGGGGCCGCGACTGCGGCCTGACGGGGCCGCGACTGCGGCCTGACGGGGCCGCGACTGCGGCCTGACGGGGCCGCGACTGCGGCCTGACGGGGCCGCGACTGCGACCTGACGGGGTCGCGCGCTGGCCTGACGGGCCTGCAGAGGCTGTGTTCGGGCGGCGAGGGCCTGCAGGGGCGGCGCGCAGTCGGGCAGAGGCTGCGCTCGGGCGGCGTGGTCCTGCAGGGGCAGCGCGCCGACCTGACGGGCCTGCAGGGGCGGCTCTCGGGCCTGACGGGCCTGCAGAGGCGGCTCAGGGGCCTAACGGGCCTGCAGGGGCGGCTCGAGGGCCCTACTAGCTTGCAGGGGCGGCGCACTGGCCTAGGGCAGCAGGAGGCAGCGCGAGGGCTGTAAGACGGAGCGCAGGCAGAACGAAGGGCGGGGCGCGCGAGGGCGCACTAGCAGAAAGAAATAAAGGGCGCACGAGGGCGCACGAGCAGAGAAAGGCGCACAAGGGCGCACGTAAGGTAGGGCGCACGAGGGCGCTTCTAGCGGAATAGTGGGCCCGTAGTAGTAAGCGGTCCTAGGTGGCAACCTAGGCTCGTGATACCATGTCAGAATGAACAAGAGTGATTGCACTAGGAAAGAGTTGGGTACAAGTAGGAAACCCTAAACTTACTGTACCCCATAGTAACTACCCCACTACAGCCTAAACAAACTGTAGCAGATTTAACATTTGACAGTAAAAATTGGTGTAGTGAATTTTGAATGCTTTCAGAGACATTCAGCGCGGTGCAATCAGCGATCGTGCAATCGACACTGCAAAATTTCTAAAGGTGCCTCGTCCTAACACTTCCGTTTCGCGCGCCAATTCCTTTGACAAATCCTGTAACACGTGGTTACAGTCCAGCATATACATATTATATGTACCAATCTCTGAATGTGATAACCTAATTAGCATTGTTACATTCATATCATTTATACCTCACCGGCTAAATTCTCTTAACTCACCGTTCATAGCACACCTAATAAGTACATTGAAATTAATTATGGCCACTATAAAAAAACCAGCATCTAATTGAAATTCATTCCCGTTCTACATGCCACATCCACATGTGCCTGAATGTCTCATTAACATGTCACCCATACGATGTCTTCGTCCCACATAGTCGAATCCCCAACACCTCGGAACCTCCAATCAAACGATTGGTTCGGTAGCGACTGGGGCATTTCCCAACCTCAGCCAAGCCGGAGGCTCGCCTCCCGTGTCTCAGTGATTGGTTGGTGTCCACCAACATCCCGATGAAATACCTGGCAACACGCAAATGAGCCGCCCGAAAACTGGGATGTCGAAACCTACTGGCCAACTGGACAGGTTTGCAAGGCGTTGACGATTGGTTTTACCCCTCCAGTTGTCAACGACTGGCTTTCGGTTGGAAAACCAGAAACCCAAGTTTCGAGATGATGTCGCCATGTCACGACGTCATCCCGTCATGTCCGTCGCCACCATTTGGTCATGTCACATCGTCATTTCACCGCGTCACGCTGCCATGTTGCCATGTCAAGCCCCCATATCGCCATATCACGCCGCCACTTTGCGATGTCACGCCCTCAGTTTGACTCGTCACGCCGCCATTTCGCCCCGTCGCGCCGCCATTCATCATCTAGAGATTGGCGAATGGCAGTTTGCCCCCACTCTACAAAATTCAAATCGGAAAAACATTGCCAAAGGAATGGCGAAACAATGCTGAAAGTACTCACCATGCAACATTGATCATGGTCTATCTCAAGGATTGCTCCGAGGCTGATGAGTGTTCAGAGATTCGACGAGACGATTCCCACAGCAATCCGCACTCAGCTTCGGCAAGGATTCCTCGATGATGCCACGTGCCATCCCCGTCCTCGATACAGACGCCCTTAAAGCCATGTGCCACATGCTTGTACGATTGCAGGCCCGTTAAGGGTGTAAGGTGGACGCTGAGCGTGTGTGTACCCACACCCTTAAGACGCCCTCAACATAAAAATGCTCGCACTTGTATAGGGAGCTCTTTCTTGTCACCCCCATCTTTGGCATATGCGATAGCGTCACCCTAATAAATCACATAGCCCACGTGTATTGCACAAAATAGTACAAAGCATGCGACTCGGGAACGAGCCGCACCGTTGCAAAACGTGCGCATTCCGCACGCCCCCGCCATTACCGCCGCATAATAGGTACCAATGCGGGGTTGTGACCCTCGCCCGTGCCAACCCCCCACAAGTTCATGAAATTTACGGTCAGCTGCTGTACTGTGCCTCCAATTTATTTAAGATTCACACCCAAAAGAGAGCATACATAGGAAAACAAACCACCGCTGGGCACAAGCAAAGCACGAAAATACAGACACTATCAGGTTTAGCTAATAGCACCACAAACCATGCTATTATTTAAAATAGGTAGAAGGAACCACCGCACACCAGCCTCCATTGCAATCACACCGAAAATCCTGCACGCGCAGAGTCAGCCACACGCTGCAGCCATGCACGCAGTACTCGCAGCAGGGGCAGGGCCAGCCGCACCAGGTGAGGGGGGGCGAGGCGGCTGCCCGTCCGAGGCTGGAGGTGGGGCGGGCGAGACATCATCGAGCCCATCTTCGGAGATGAGCACGGTGCTCCCCTGCCTGAAGGCCCACGCGCGATTCGTGGCGTCCCACCAAGGGCCAGCGGCCTGTGTGCGTGACAGAATCATCTGTCGGGCCCAGGACGTGACTCGCGCGTTGTACCAGCGCACCGCCTCATCGTTACGAGGGGCGGATCGCGGCATCTGGTTGCCGTTAATCAGCGGGTACTCCACCTGCAAGAAGCCGGCCACGTATCTCGTTAAACCTTCATCCTGAAGGCCAGAAATACCATATACACAGCATTGTGTTAGAATCTAGAATAGAACGAGAATGCATGAAACTAGGTAGGAGGGGGATACAAGTAGGAAACCCTAACAAAGCTGTACCCCCTAAGGCTAAACCCACTATAGCCTACACAATATAAACATATAATGTTTGACACACCCCCATAGGCTAAGTGGGAGACAACCAGATGGTCACAAGACCAGTCAAAGCAAAGCAAAGCAAGCTCAGGGTGGATCTCAAGGAAACCACACAAATTCTGAGCACAAGCAAGTGGTCACAAGACCAGTTCACATGCAGGTTGATAGTATAACAAGAGATACAGTGATCACAACCTAGCAAGAGTAAACAAGCAGGTATATATACAGAGATCACAGTACAAGCAGAGTCAAGAAGTAAGCAAGTGAGGCCCAGTAGGCACGAGGCCTAGAACAGTACAGAAGCGCTGATGGTCACAAGGCTGAAGCGCCTTGGTGAACACATCAGCAGTGTTGGCCCGAGTGGCCACGTAACGCAGACGAAGCTGACCGCGCTGCTGCAGCTCTCGAGCAAGGAAGTAGCGCAGAGCGATATGCTTCGTTCTGTGCTCCAGTCTGTGCTCCTCACACAAGGCAATGGCAGCCTTGTTGTCGACGTACAGCACTGGAGGAGAACGAGGCCGCTCTCCCAAGTCGGTCAGCAGGTAGGTGAGCCAGCGTAACTCCTGTGCAGCCATGGCTGTGGCGTAGATCTCAGCCTCACAGCTGGAGCTGAGAACAGAAGACGAGCGTGTAGAACGCCAAGAAACTGAACCAGAGCCAAGGCTGAAGGTGTAACCCTGAGACGACCGCTGAGTAGCCTGGTCGTCAGCCCAAGACGCGTCTGAGTGCCCAGTGAGTACAACTCGGTCTCGTCCTCCAAGCACTAGCCCCATGCCCGACGTACTGCACAAGTAGCGCAACACCCTCTTAGCGGCATCCATGTGCTCCTTCCGGTGACGGCCAGGAGCGACATAGCGTGCAAGGATGCTAAGAGGGTATGCAAGGTCAGGTCGAGTGCAGGTCATCAGGTACATGAGGCAGCCCACAAGCTCTGGATACGGGCCACTCGGCTCTACGGACTCATCCGAAGGCAGAGCTGAGAGCGAGTGACCGGTAGGCAGAGGAGTGGGCTGAGGCGAGGAGTACGTGAAGCGGAAGCGCTGAAGGACCTGCTGCACCATGTGTGACTGAGTCAAGGTGATGGTGCGCCGTGCTCTGTCCCGGGTGATCCGCAAGCCAAAATAGCTTGTCAGTTCACCCA